CCATGACTTTCAAACGCCACTTTAATAGAGTCGATTTCATTTGAGCGCTCTCGTGGCATTCGTTAGTTGTTCATCCTCCTTTTCGAAAACATGACCCATACAATTCCCAAAAAACTTAATTATTTGTGATCAAATTTCCAATTGTATTTCGTTTAGAAATAGTAAATATAATTATAAGTGCATTACTGAATTCTTGCTAAGTACGACTGCATTTTTCTTTCTATATTCGTAAATAATTTTAAGCTATTTGCTAAAATAACCGCCAATCGTGGCCACGTGGCTTTCACATTCGGCTCACCGATCCAACGACGCATTCGCAATTCCGACAGCGAGGTGTCCAGACCACTTGACGCTTTTCGACTACACAGATAACTAGAACCATGGCCGACTCGATCATGACACTCCTGGAGCAGAACCCGACCACGGGCATCGCAGTGGGCGGCGCTATCGTCGCCGCTGCTGTGGGTCTGACGGCCGCCAAGGCTCTGGGTGGCAAGGCAGCTCCGGAGGCCACGTCCGCCCCCAAGAAGAAAAAGAAGAGCAAGGGCAAGAAGAAGACGACCACTACCGCTGCCGCCCCCGCTGACAAGGAGAACGCTTCGGACATCAACCTCGAGGAGTTCGTGGACGTACGTGGTCTCGTCTGGATAAAAAAAAACGGAAGATCTTGTAAACTCATTGCATTTATGTTATCTATGCAGGACGGTCCGGACTCCGAGGAGGAGGAGGCTATTCGCGCCGAGAAGCGCAAACTTAAGCTCAAGCAGAAGAAGAAAAACGCTAAGGCCAAGCAGCGCGCGGCCGCCAGCGCGTCGGGCAAGCCCGCTGTGGACACAGACAAGGAGAAGGAGAAGAAGAAGGCTGCAGCTGCCGCTCTTAAGAAGGACACCGAGGACGGCTGGGAAACTGTCATGAACAAGAAGAAATCCTCCAAGCCCAAGCAGCAGTAGACGCACACAATGGGCGTCACGCCCCAAATAGTTGATTTCCCCTTTTTCGACTCCTGTGGGAGTGAGATGGAAGACTAGCATCGAGTACTGCGTGCTGGCCACTCCTGCTTTTTTCTCGTACTCAACGAGCGATTATGGTATAGTAAGAACAAGGCGTGTAGTGGAGAGCTACTGACATTTTGGCCGCCAGCTCCACGCTTTGAAAACAAAAAATATACGAGATTACTACCCAGATCAGAGATGTTACGGTCGACTTGGAGGAAATTTGGAGATGGCTTTCATTATCTGCAGCTATGTAGCTGTGTCGCTGTCTTCAGCCGGTAAAACGACTCTACAGCTTGGACTGCGGCTTGAGAGCGTTGAACACAACCGGCAGCTTCATGGCGAGCGTCATGTTGCCCTTGAGTTTGAGTTTGCCCTTCATGAACGCCTGTGCATCATAGAATATCGTCAGACATCATCCTATAACGAGCAAACTTCCGCCAAGTGCAGTTACCTGCTGTGCGTTGAGTTTGCCCATTGCAATAGCGACAAAGTCGGCGTCATTGATCGTGATAGTCACATCTGCCTTCTTGGAGCCCTCCGTGAGCGCTGGCGTGGCGCTCTTCAGGTCCAGGTTCCACTTGCCAGCTCCCGTAATGTCGAACTGGATGATACCTTTTACCTTCTTGGACATCGAAGCGCCGTCCTTAGCTACCACTTCTCCCAGTAGACGGAAGATCTCCTTCGAGTTGAGTCCTCCAGTGGCTGCTGGAGCAGCGGCAGGAGCAGCTGCTGCAGGCTTGGCACCAGCGCTTTTCTTCTTCATGTAGTTGCGCGTGGCCGACAGCACCACGTTGAGCTTCATGGCGAGTCCCATGTTGCCCTTGATCTTCACCAGCCCCTTCATGAACGCCTGAACATACAAACAAGTTAAGCTTCCAGCTAATAAACTACGAGAGAGAGTGTGCTGACCTGCTGCGGGTTGAGCTTATTGTCCATCATCTTAAGGAAGTTCTCCTCGGACAAAGAGATGGTTAGATCGGCTTTGTCGCTGGCGGTCGCAGACTTAACGCTGCCCTTGCCGTTCTTGAGGTCCACGAGCCATGCACCGGCGCCCGAGATGTCGAACTTGATGACGCCCTTCACTTTAGTCACTAGAGACGGACCCACTTCATCCACAGCGCCGCTCATCATGTCGAACAACTCAGCGGCGCGTGGAGCCATGGTGAACTGGATAGGAAGACAAAGAGGCGCTATGAATGCAGCAAAATGCGAAGTGAAGTTAGAGTCCGGCGTGACGGTTGAACAAGTCAAATCCGCCGTAGATGATGCCCGTATATAACGATAATGTTCGAAGTAAGATTATTTTGTACTGCAAATAATTATCCTCATTTAAAGCTGTTTTTATTGTTACCTGCAACATCTTAATCTCAATATTCATCAACTATTACAGTCATCAGGATATAAAGGTCGCAAGGATGTTGCTGTTGAACTTGTCCTGCGCCACGACCGCTGCCTCACGCGAGCAACTCACACGAGTTCAGAGCTTCATGCCATCACATAATGCATGCTACATGCAGTAGCTTACATGTTCGTGGCCGACTTCGTGCTACCTCCGTGAGTTAAAATCGTACTTAAATAGAATCTGTATTTCTACTATAACAATCGCCATCCATGATCGGACGAGAAGCTCCACTTGCAGAGCTATCGCGCGCGACGGGGCTGAACGCGGATGCATTCGAGTCTCCGCTGCCGCTCGTGATCGTGTATGGCGGCGCATCCAGCGGTAAAAGCATGGGAGTGGCACAAGCGCTGCGAGCACACCCGTCGCCCCATGCTCTTGTGGATTGCACGGCGCTCTACTCCGCCAAGGAATTCTACCGTGAAGCACTGGCTCAGCTACATGACGGCGCAATGGTAGCCGAATCGGAAGACGTGAGGGTCTCTGTTGATGCTAATGAGCCTGAAGAAAATAAGAATAAACAGGTGCAGGATGACGAGAAATTCAGCTCGCTCAACTTCCTGGGCTTTTTCAAAGCTCTCGATAGGTTTATGGAGCACAACACAGCTAAAGGGGATGAACCGAGTCGACGCGTGTTGTATCTGGCACTAGATCACGTGGACAAGTTACTGGATCGCGGATTGGGGGCGGCTCTACTTACGTGTGTGTGCACGATAAACGACCAGATCTCGTACTTGAATGTTAGTTTTGATGAAAGTGATAGGCTGTTGACGCGAGAGGTTACTAAAGTTTTGATCGTGTTATTACCTTTTAGATGTTTGAAGACTCTCCGCCATGGGAAGCGTCTGTGTTACTGCTTACACGAGGAATGTCGTTAGATTTTGATCGATTGGTGATGCCCTTCTTCCCTGCTTACGTGCACTTCCCACCATACAAACCAGGTAAAGAGAGTGTTTTAAGTTGCGGTGGTAGTTCTATGACTTTGCTAACTTGAATGCAATTGTAGGGCAATTGGCGGATATTCTGGTGGAACAATTGGGTATGAAGGAGGCGAACGAGATGTTCCGTACCTGGCTGGTGCATCTTCATGGTCTGCTACCCCCTGCCCCGGATGGAGATTGGCTCGAGTTCCGAGCTGCCGTTGTACACTTGCTACCGGAGTTCCGAGAGCTGTTCCTGTTACCTGTTCAAGGTGTTGAAGCCTCCCGGATGAAGACTAAACTCGAGCGTGAAACCAAAGGCCTCGTACATGCCTTCCTACAAACACGGAGACGCCATCTTTTTGGCTACCACAAGTTGGGGAGCGGCGTTGGTGACCCGTCCGAGCTCATTTCGTGCACCAACCTGAGTCGGAACTGCCTTCTGCTCGTGCTTGCAGGCTACTTGGCGTCGTTCAATCCTCAAGAAACCGATGTGCGCTTCCTCTCTTCTTCAGGCGGACAGCGTCGCAAAAAGCGTGCCAAGAAGAACCCCGATGGCGAGTCCAGTTCAACAACAACCACGTCGACTAGCAGCAAGAAGCAGCAGATCAGTCAACTGCTCGTTGGCCCTCGGATCTTCACGTTGCAGCGGCTTCTAGCCATCTACCTGAACCTCCGCGTCGAAGCTGAGGCTGGAAACTCTGCTAATGACGATGGACCGCGCTCTTCTGAAACACGCGAGGAAGTTTTCACTCATGTAAGTCTTCTGTGGCATTTCTCGATCGCTTTAATTCTAACCTTGCGTCAATATTTTATGTGCTTCTAGCTCGCAACTCTCGTTCGAATGCAGCTTTTCCAACGTACCACTCCACCGCATGTGCTGGACAACATCAAGTTTCGGTGTCTCGCTGATGCTCGCTTTGTTCAGGAAACCGCGCGCTATCTGTCCTTCCCCTTAGACGCTTACCTCAACAGAGCCACATAGCACAGATAATTGCAATGAATCGGTATATTATACGTATGCTCTCGCCTCCTGTCTTGCAAGAAGTCCACAAAAGTAAACAGAAGAACAGCCTCAGCTTTTCTTCTCTTGTCCGTGCATTATCCAGAGCATTGTCATCAAATCAATCGCGTCGGGTTAATAGGTATTTGTTCTCGGAAGAGATCTTCCAACGCAGCGTTAGCATCCCGAAGGAAAGGGTGCTCCAGTACCTGCTTCGGTGTTATCCGTTTATAAGGGTCCTTCTCCATCATGAGAGTAATCTGTGTCGCCATCAAGTCACGAATTAATTATCCGGTCCAATGCAGATAACCTATCGATGCCACGTACCATATCCTTGGCTTCATCTGAAATACTGGACCACTCCGGTTCTTCAAACTCATAGTCAACCCGCTTGTTCATCTGAATGAGCTCTTCATCGTTCACACCGAAGAAAGGTTCGTAGCCACACAGCATCGTGTACGCCACCACACCAGCCGAAAACATATCCACTCCACTGGGATATGCTTCACCTTTGCCTGCAGACAGGATCTCTGGAGCCACGAAGCCAGGAGTTCCGCATCTTCCCTTTAGCATGCCATCCTTCTGGATAAAAGCTGCCATCCCGAAATCAGCAACCTTGATGACAGCAAACCTGCCGTACAATAAAATAAAAAATTAGATGCTGCTCACTGACGATACACATGATCTACTTACTCTTTGCCGCTCGCACTGCGCTCGAAGTCCAGTGCAAGATTGGAGAGCTTCACGTCTCGATGGGCAACACCATTGTGCTGGCAATAATCAATCGCCCGGACCAGGCTAGCAACCAAGAACGAAGCACGCGTCTCATCCACCGCACTCTTGGTAGCAATCTCTTCGTGGAGATCTCCATCCCTCATGAGCTCCAGCTCCATCACTAAATGGTTGCGCGTTTCAAACAGCGACTGTAGTCGAATCACCGGACAGTATGAGGAGCCCGAGCGGACCGTCAACAGACTCTGCGTCAAAATCTCTCGCACCACCGTATCTTCACGTTCTGTTTCACGGGACACCAAATCCCAGAAGATGTTCTTCTCGATGATCTTAAGAGCACAGTCCTTTGACCTCGACGGATCGTCCGAGGCTTCCTTCCGACGAGCACGACGAACAATAGAGAAGCGTCCTTTACCAAGCTCAAAGTTCTTTGGAGATGTTCCAGTCGGTGAGTCTGGAGTGAGATCAAACAAGTCGTCGATCTGCAGCTTCACGGCACGCGCCATCGTCTCTTTCCACTGCATCGCGTCCTTCTCAGAGTCGAACTGTAGCCACAATTCGCTGCGTCCAGATAATGCTGATGAGTGGGTATTGTACTTGAGGACAAACTCGGTCGTGCTGCGCTGTTGAGGATGCACGGATCCCTCGAATAAATTAGCATGCCCCACTGGTCGACTTGTCTCGTTCGCATCCAGATATTCCCACAGATTATTCCGATACAGCGACAAGAAGCGCTTGCACCACTGGCTACCTGGAACCTTCAGATGAACCCAACCAGTAATTGCCATTCCAGACGACTCAGAGCCAGACGAAAACGAGTCTTTCTCTTCTCTTTCTAGACAGCGTAGCTGCTCAAATACGTCGGTAGGCAGTTCAGTCGCCAGACATGACAGTAGCCACGAGTCCGCGTTCCAATGATGAGGGCTGCACCTTGCATTCGGCGGTGCAAGCTCTCCCAATATCGGTGCGAGGTCCTCACTGGCCATCGAATTGTCTTCAGCTATCACATTCATCCCGAACGGCGATGGTCGGTCCAATTGCTGCAACGAATTGCTGGACGGCCATTGCTTCATATTGGCAAAGTTGCTGCCTCCGCGAACACTCACTTCGTCACCCAGGAAGGCGTGTGTACTGTTAGCCATGTTGTTGTTGTGGATGGTCGTGAAGCACTTCCGCAGCACCGTGTCGACACCCGATCCTCCCGGTGTTGGAGCAGTCGCTGGGGGTAGTAACGCACTTTCCAGCAATGGACAGTCGACTGTGATGTGGTTTCCATTGCAGTTGGCGCAAGTCTGCGAGTTCCTCCGACGACTGTTACTTCGTGGCAAGCCCTTAGGGAACAGCGTCGCCGGCAGCTTCATATCGTCCAAACCTCCTTCCACACCAGGAGGTGACGGGTGGATCACCATCGGTGCCAGCACGGGGGAGCGCTTCCCGTTCTCCTCAAACGACATGGAGTGCGCTCGGTGTCGGCCTGCCGCTGCGACGGCAGCCATCACAACTGCCTGGTTGGATTTCTCTCTCGTATCTTCTTCATCCGACTCGCTCGAGCCATCTGATGACACTGCATCGTCAGCCTCCAAAAGACTATCAATCGCGTCCGCAGTTACCAGCGATTCTCGTCTGTCGATATTACGCACGCTATTTAAATTACCACAGATAAATGAGCCCATTGCATACACAAGAGTTTCCAATAAATGCTGCATAGTCCACCGTTACCTGATGTCCAGTTCGCTCTGAATGCTATTCATCATGAGCCGCTGGAGTAGCATGTCCATCTGCAGTTCCCATGGCTTGTTGAAGATGGATCCTTCTCCGGATTTCTGGTGTGGGGAGCTCGTGCCAGTGATTGAGCCCTCGGCGTCTCCTTCTGAGCTCTCATTCTTCTTAAACGACGATCTGTGCGATGTCGTGGATATATCGGCGTCGTCGCAAGTCGTGGAGGCTCCACTGCTATTGTTTAACTCCCTCTCTGAGCGCTAAGATCAAAAAATTGACAAGGTTAAGGTCAGAATGGTCTTCCGCATACTCGCTTTCTCTTCTTGTACGCACAATTTGGATCTTAACCGCAGTGTGCGTGGCCAAGTTACCCTTCTTGTGGATGAGTTTGAAGCAGCTAACGCAGTAGGCGTCGTGGCAGCAGCCATTGCAGCTCAGGCTCGCGCTGTGAAGCTCGCAGTAGACGCAGAGCGGACGCGGGCCTTCAGTGATGGCACTGCCATCCTCAGCATCAGGCTCATCACTCGACTCATTACCAGCGGGCGCGTGTGTGCGCTGCATGTACCAGAGTCGCCAACTGGCGTTCTCGAGGCGCACGGCCTCGTCCACAAAGCGGCGCATGGTGCTGAAGGACTGCCAAGACTTCTTGGCAGCCTTCTCGAAGACAGCCACATCGTCTATCATGGTGGAATCTCGGTCGGTCCCGAGGCTACGAGGTGTAGGGAAGATCGAGATCTGCTGAGCCAAGCAGCGTGCCAGGCATCCGATGGCTGGGTGACGGGCTTCCTCCTACTGTAGCCCAGCGCTTCCTCGCAGACTCGTCTGGTTCAGTTCGTTATTTTTGCGTGCTGCACTGATCCTGTGATATATGATAACGGGTAGCCTCAACGCAGATGATAACATTAACAAGGTTATTGCTATAGACAGAGTCGATTGTGGTCATAATTGAAAACAGAACGCTCGGGGAAGACTAGTTGGTGCTGGGTCGAGCACAACCCGTGAATATCAAGATAAAGAGGCTGGAGTCTGAGGTCAAAGACGGGGCGGACGGTTTTACTTCAGTACCGTACGGGGTCAGATGAAAAGCTTCAACGGCAGACTAAGTCTAGCAATGCAATTAGTAGAGTCTCGTCCGAAAGCTTGCTGACAAAAGCTTGTCATGCAAGTATATGTAGTCCAACACGGCTCACTTCGCGTTGCCGTCAACCACGCGCTGTGTATTGCGGCAATAATTGCCCGCCATCACCGGGATGAGTTCTACGGCACACTGTACTGAGCGGATGGCTACGTCGACGTCGGGCGCGTCAAACCAATGGACGGTCGTTAATGTATGCCTATCTAGAGATCAAAAAAAATAAGAATACTAATTTCGTCATTTCCTCTAATGCGTGATAATCATAAACAATATGGGTAAGAAGAAGGCTGCAGCGACAACGGCTAGCCGCAAGGCCACCAAGAGCAAGTCCAAGCCGGGCAGCGCCATCACGCGCCGCGAGATCGCAGCATGGGAGGACGACGAAGTGCCGTCCGCACTACGCTTCGAGCCACTACGCAAGTCGTTACGCGTTAGAGATCTACACGAGGAGCTCATCTATGCCGTACCGTCCTTCCTGTCGCGCGTCGAGTGCCAGCGCGTGCGCTCATTTGCGGACCAAGAAGGCTTTGAGCGCGTGACACAGCGGGCCAGTCGGGACTACGCATTCAGGGATAACGACCGACTACTGTTACGTCTTCCAGCTTTCGCGGAGCTGCTCTGGAAGCGTCTGCAGCCGCATGTTCCAGTCGAGTATGAGGGCATGCATGCTGTTGGGCTGAACCCGGCTATCAGGTTCTATCGGTACAATACGGGGCAAAGGTTTGGCTGTCATGTGGACCAGAGCGATGTGGATCGGATCACTGGCTACCACAGCCGCTTTACAGTGCTCGTGTACTTAAACGACTCAACTGACTCCGACTTGCAAGGCGGCAATACCATCTTCTACTCTAATGAAGCTGGTGCCAAGGAGGAAAAAGTGGTGCTTAGTGTAGCCCCGGAGACTGGCTCAGCTCTCGTACACGGTCACGGCGATCGCTGTCTGTTGCACGAAGGCGCGTTAGTCACTCGAGGGGCCAAATATCTACTGCGCACCGACGTCATGTACTCGCGGACGAAGAAGTAGATGCTGTACAAAATCTAAATGAAAACTTTTTTGACAGGAAGCAGGGCCAGACATAGTGTATATACGTCAAAAGGTTGCTGGATGCGAGGCCCTGAATCTTAACTAGCTGCTCGACGCCAGCTCGCGCAGTCTTCTAGCAATAGCGTGGACAAATGGGTTGCTCTGCACAAGACAATAAATATTAGGAAGAGGATACTAAGAAGCACAATCACGAGAATGCGTACCTCGATGTCGCTGACAACGCCAAGCAATTTGCCGAGTGTGTGTTGGATGGCATTCCTGCTGGATTCCGCTTCTGGGTGACTCAGGTAGTGCGCGAAGTGAAGCAGCAGCACCACAAGCATGTTCTCCACAACGAACGCCAAGCTGTCGGCATGGTACTCCAATACATTCTCCAATGGCGTGGTGTCACACTGGTGCTCGCGGCGACGCAGAGATCGCTGCTGCGACGACGCAGAGGTAACGGAGATCGAGCGAGCCGAAGCCGTTGCTTTCTTCAGAGCTGCAAGAGCGTCCGCAAGTTGCTTGCTCGTTTCCAGAGCAAATACAACAGAGTCGAACCGGGCAGTAAAGTCGTTCATTGACGGTGCAAGAGTCCACAGCGGGTCCGTAGCGGCAGCAAACGCTCGCGGGTCCACCGAAGACATGGACGGGAACTGGTTTCTGTTCTGTTGTTGCGCCTTGTTCGTGATGGACAACAACGGAGCCGCGCGACCGGCGTTTCCATCGCCCACTGCAAGCATCATTCGGCTCGCACAGAAAGCCACAGCGTTGCATAAAATCATCCGAGACGCGTACAGCTTCTCCTCGTCCAGCAAGGACATGTGCAGTAAGCCAGCACTTCCGCTGGACTTCACAGCCGCGGCATCACACTGCTCCAAAATCTTATCGTCACATTCCACACACGAGAAACGCTGGATAGCAGCATTGCGCTGTTCCTCCACAGAGTCCGCAAGCTTGTTGTTCCACCACGACAAACTGTTATCAGCCATTCCATCAGGTTCATCACGGGGAGGTGCAAGCTCAGCGCTATAGTACAGGAAGACCTGAAGAATCAACTGAGAAATCTTCTCCCACTTCGCCGCCGCCAGTGTTTGCTCGCACAGATCAGGGAACTGAGTCACGTAGCGGAAAACAAACGTCACATACGACAATTCCCGGAGGAGGTTCACTGAAATCGGCTGCGACTGCTGACCACCAGCACACAGCTTAAGCGCCGACGTGAACAGCTTCCGGTTCTTGTTCACGAAATAAAGCACCTGGTTGGTAAGAGCCTGGTTCTTCGGCAGTGAAGCGCAACACGCGCTCAGCAGACGCGCCACCGGAAGCCACTTGCGATAGTATACAGCCTCGACGCGCTGGAAAGCTGCCACAGATGGAGCTGCGTTTTGCTGAGCCACATACTGTGGTCGGTGTGTTGGCAGGTTGCGCGCATCAGACAGCACACGGACCAAGCCACCTTCCAGTAGTGCTACCGCCCCTTCCTGCGTCTCAGCAACCCGCGCAAAAAGCGACAAGAAGCACTCATACATCGTGCCGATCGTCGTAGCATCCATTCCCTCCGGAATCACACTGCTTTTCACCATACTTGTGTTGCCGTTGCTGCGTTCAAAAGCTGCTGCGTCCATCTCGCTAAGCTTCTTGAAGATGTCGATAAAATGCAGGAGATAGCCACGTTCACGGAAAATTGCAACAAGCGACGAGTGGTCTTCAAAAGCGATCAGAGACTCCAGTGCTGAGACTGCGAGCGCCATGCTCAATGTGTCCTCGCCATCGCTTGCATCTCGGCAAACCAGATCAACGACCTGGTTCGTGAGCAGATGTCGAACACGCTGTTCCTGACTCAGTGCAGAGCTCGCAAGACCAAACTTCGAAGCAGAATCTTGCGCAGCACGACTTGGCAGAACATGCAGCACATGAACGATGCAGGAATACAACAATGTCCGGGAGTTGCGCGCAGCCGACGGGTTTCCAGTTGCAGCAGCGCTACTGTAGATAGAGCGGAACAGCAGCTCCAAAAAACCAATGTTCTGACGCTGGCGACTCTCCGGCAGTGCACGCGGTTGACTCCCGTCATCGCTGTAGCTGAGCTGTGAGAAGAGCATCAGAGCGATCCTTGAAACGATCTCGAACAACTGAGCAGAAGCACTTGCCTTCTCGGTCAGCTTACTCAGCACTGCCGATATAATGCCGCTCATCAGCTCCTGCCGCACCTCCGCCGACGCAACAGCATCTAGACCCTGCCACATCGCCGGTGTTTCGAGCCCTTCTTGTTCGCGAGGTAACGCCAGGTAGTCCAACACAATCACCTCCATCAGCTCACGCAGCGAATTCAGTGCGTGACTCTCGGCTGAAATTCGCTCCGAGTAGATGTTCCACTGCACGGCCCACTGGATGAATCTCTCCGCCGCGGCCTCGGTACTGTTCTGGCTACTGGTACTGCTTATACCATCACCATTCACACGAAACCTCTTGGTAGACGCTGAGTAGTAATCACCCATTCCATCCTCACTTGCAGTCAGATCAAGCGTCTGAAGTGCCTGACAGAAGCGCTCGATATCAATCCTTAGCCACTTGTAGTAGCAGCCTTGCTCCACGGCTGTTGTCACCTGTTCAGCCAAAGCCACAACCTGTTGGTTGGTCGGAACCGGAGGCGGCGAGATGTGGAACGAGCACTCGTTGAGCAGCTGCAACAGTAGCATTTGTTCTTGTCTCGCAATAGCTCGATCGTTGCGGCCGCCTACTGATACAGACAGCAACTGTCCCATCAGTTTGTTGATCTTCTTCATGTGCGGAGGCTCCTTGTGCAGTCCCACATGTAAGTACACCGCCAGCGTTTTAAAAAACCACCCGCGCATGTTTAACTCAGCAATCATAGCAGCGGCCGTCTTCCTCCTCGTTACATGGTAGACACGGCTGAATAACTGGATCTGGGACGCGAAATAGTCGTTCGGGACACTTTCCAATGCTGCAATAGTGTTGGGAGACGAAAACTCCTGCGTGATCAGACTGTGGAGAACATGGTAGCACCGCTCTGCCAACTCCGGCGTCTCTAAGCCAAAGTCTGCGTTGGATACAAGAGTAATCACGGCGGCAAGCCCCGTCTTCATGTATGAAGTTGGCACATCTGCAGCCTTCGAGTCTCCATACTGGTTGACGTTGCCTAGCAGCAAATGCGCCAAGTTTGGCGCCGGCTTGCTCAAATTCTCAAGCAGCAAGTCTAAGATGGCGGCGCGAATAGAGGGTGGAGGCGTCTCTTGGGTAAACAACTCGAACGGAGAAGAGACAGTGCGAGTGTCTTGGCGCTTCCTGCTTCTTGCAACAGAGTCCAATTCCGTCTCATCTTGCTCGTTGGCGGTTCCCACCTCGCTCCCATCCTGATCATTTTCATCGTCATCATATACGTTAAGCAAACGGTTCATGTAGCCGATCATGATGTCTGCACTCGATCCACTGTCGATAAGTAAGTCCACAAGTTCGGTTCCACTCATACGCGCACTGATCATACGTAGAATCACCGCCGACAGGTGCGGGATGTGTGCTGACTTGGAGTACTTGATGTACTTGACAATATTCACGAAGTCAGAACGATGACGGCACAAGATCGTGTGCATCATCTCCACTTGTAATCGGTGCGAAAGCTGACGGTTCAAATCGATGTTTACAAATTGGACGTCCTTCTCCAGCACCAAGACCACAATCTCAAGTGCATGTTGCACACATCGCTCACGCAGCGCAGCAACCGCTGTGGTTTTAGTCAGGTACGTGTCGCTAGGCTTCTTAGACACGTCAATAACAAAGTTCAGCGAACCATGCTTGGCCTCCGTTTCACGCTTGACAATGTCGAGGCAGTAAAAGAATGCGTGCTCGAGGTGCATGTCCGTCGACGTGCTCTCCAGATTCTCAACGCCTCCATCCCCAGAGAGAATAGACAGCACCTTGTTAAGCAACGGGTTGCTCGACAAGAACCGAGCTAGAAGCTGATACGACAAGCTGCCTTCCTTCATCGAAGTGTCCACATTCCGCAGGATTTTCTTGAAAATGGCAAGAGTACCGTTCACCAGCGCCCACTTCTCTTCTTCCCGCTCGTACTTCCGCAAATCAAATTTCAGGAACACGTGTTCAAGCAAAAACTCGAAGTAAAACTGGATCGCAGCAACGCGGCCATCACCCTCAAATGACTTCCAGGCGTGAGGATTCTCAAACAGTTCGTAGAGTAGCGTAACGAAACCTCTTGTTGCCGGGTATGTTCTGCTCAATGACTCGTAGTGCTCGAGTTCATAGCTGATATCCTGATTTCCATACACCGACATATCTCCTGTAGTACGTAAAATCTGCAACGCATCTACTTGGCGCCATACAAATGGCGCGATATCAGGCACACGCGCAAAAGCAGCGAGCGTCTTCATAATTGAACCCTTGAGCGAACTGGGAATGCGGCACTGGAGGAAAGCCACAAACGTCGGGATTGGAGACCAGTCGTGGTTGTGGAAGAAGATAAGCGCCAGCTGAGGGTCCGAAATCACTTCCTGAATAAGCTTCTGGATGGTTTCTAATGCCTCTAATTCCTTAGGACGAATAAATCGGGGGCCAGGATTGGCTGCGCTGCTTACACTGTTGAAGGTGCTACCGTCGATCCCAACTCCCTGCGCAACGCCACCAGGCATGAGCGGCGAGTATCCAGCCGGTTTCTCAGCATCAGTTAGGAGGCGCTGGTATTTCGCCATAACGGCGAAGAACTGGTCCCAGCTAAGTTGCTGTGGGTTCTTCTTAATGTGGTGGAAAGCCTGCTGAGCGCACTCCGGTCCGTTACCAGCAGCGGCAACCAGACGCAGATATGCCGCTATACATCCAGGATTTTTGAACGCAGCATCGCGGCAAGCGATCAAGAAATCGTGGCAACTTCCACCATCAATACTGTTAGAATGTGACTCAGGCTGTCGTAGGTCATCTCCTGCGTTACTTCCAGTGCTGCTGCCATTGCTGTCATGAAAGTCGAATTCTTCATTGGAACCACGCCAGAATGAACAGCAAAATGTTGCATTGCGAGCACACAACGCCGTCGCGAAGTCGATAATATTCTCGAGGCAATCTCCAGTCCACGCCGCTACTTCACCGTCACTTTCAGATTGCATAGCAGCAATAGCAGCCTTATCAGCGACAGTTGGCACGTCGATCATCATCTTGGACGAATAGGTACGGAATAGCAGCTCAAAGTTCCGCTCGTAAATGTCGTACAACCGCAGGTCACGCTTTCGATCTGGCAGATACTTCAGCTGCACTTCAACCAACGTATGAAACACGCGCTCCTCAATTGCCTTTTTGACCACGCTCGTTGCATCATCCGCCTCGGCGAATTTCACGTTACTGTTGCTGTTGTTATCATCGGCGTTACCAGCCAGGAATCCAGCCCACGCAAGCATTGCAACGCTCTGGAGGCCTCTCTGTTCCCACTCCTCATCGAAAAAAATACGGTGGAGCCCCTTCACCACCGAAGCATGCTCCCGTCGGCACAACGCAACACCAATCTCCATGTCACCAGTTTCGCGATCCATTTTCCTGCTTTTCTGAAGCAACACGACGAAAAGTGCCACCTGAACTGACGTAATAGTCTGCAGCATGCAGGATACCTGTCTCACTGCGCCTTCAGGCGACGTTCCTGCTAGAGATCCACCTTCGAAGAGCTGCGCGAACGACGAGAGGTTCACAATATGCGGCGACACCTTAGCCACCACAGTTTTCAAGCGTCCACACAGTGTGTTGAGCAATTCCGCGAGCTTCTGCACTTCATTTGCCAAAGTCAACGTGCTGGATACGATGAACACCAGGCAATCCGCTACCAGCGTGTGCCAATAACTTACGCTCTGCTCCATTCTGGTCACCTGTGCAAGCTGAACCAGCTGATTATCAAACGCTGTCACTAAGTTGGTCAGCAGCTCCTCCGTCAGCAGTTTGTTAGTGAACGACACGATGAATTGCGCGCGCTGCTTGTCCAGCCGCGTTTCGAGTCGCAGTCGCAGCAGCTCCTTAAGTAGATGCAGCTTATATTCCGTCTCTGAAGTCAAGAAGTAGCGCGCAGCGCTCTGTACCGAGTCAGCGATGGTGCCAGGCGGTAGCTGATCCGCGCGTTCCACCCACTCGCGCTGCTGCTGCTCACTGGCCATCAGCCAGAACTCGAAGCACGTCTTTTCGCTAGCGCGGAACTCGTCGCTGAGCTTGCATATCTCTTGCTGGATAAGCGGTGACACGTCCACGTGCTTGCCGGCCACATTTACCGTATTGGCTTGAAGTGCCGCGCGCTCCGACGCGCTGGGCGGCGCCAATGTCAGCGGCTGCAGCAGCTCTGGCGCGGCAGCTACCAGCTCCGCCATGAACTGCGGTGCATCATCGTCCGACATGCTCTGCCCAGCGAACGCCAGCAGATCCTGGTGTAGCTGCCGGAAGCGCAGCGCCGGCGCGTCCGCGAGCGACAGGCTATCGCTCATGGTAGATTGTCTGTTGGCTTGTGGGGGTTGTTGGGGGGATTGGATTGGCGCGGAAAGCGCTCGTACTTAACATGGTATGACCATCACTCTGAGTGGAGCGCTTCACATTGTGTTCCACACTGTATCCCACATTATGTGGGTCTTGTCCGCACTCAGATTCACTTGAAGAAAAAGATGAGGAAGCTGCGCATCTTGTCGCTGATGGAGGCGGCGACATCTTGGCTCCTGCTTATCTTCGCGATGTTCTCTCGTTATGGAATCGATTTATCGTGCGCTGCGGACATAGTGCCTGGCTCCGCGACCTTCCGGATCGACAGCAAGACCAAGATCAAGGACATCTTCAAATGCTCAGGTATCCACTTCATCGGCTCCTTTAACGAATATTACGTGGCTTGCGAGCTCAATGTGCCCTCCCAGGAAAAAATAACACTACTGGAGATTGTGGACATCAAACTGGATGGCTCAGTGCTGTCGCCTCTGTCTGGTGTCCATGTAGAGCTGAATTTTCAACTGAATACGACGCTTGCCACGGTATCCATCCGCAACAGCCAGCTACAGGCCAGCGCCGTAGAGATCCGCACCGCCAACATAACTATGGACGATCATTCGGCTGTGAATGTGTCGGCCCAGGGACTTAAGTTCGGACCAGGTTACAACTCCTGGACCTCAATGGGGGGAAGCTATGGAGGCATCGGTGGTGCGTCACTCACGCCGGCACATCGGAAATGTGAGGACGTGCCACCTAATGATTTCTTTCGGGTGGTGGGAGACGTATCGGCGGATTCTGCTAATTTCCGAGGCTATGGTAGTGGAGGAGGCAATGATGAGAGTCGCGGAGGTGGACGGATTCGATTGGTGGTGCAGGAAAACGTGGAGATTAATGGCTCGTTGTTGGCTAACGGAGGTGATGCGTGCACTGATTGCTATGACAGTGCTGGTGCAGGAGGTAGTATCATTGTTGTTGCTAAGGAACGCGTTCATGGCAATGCGACGGTGCAGGCCAACGGCGGTGAGCCTAGTAACTTTAATGGCGATGAATTTACCGGTGGAGGTGGAGGCGGTGGAGGCGGTGGTGGCCGGATTGTATTTGATTCCAAGAACGCAGAGGAGTTAGGACCAGCTCGTGTTGAAGCTTATGGTGGCGGCTTGAGCTCCGATAAAAACACAGCAATAGGGTGGTGTCAATTGGGAGGCGACGGAACGATATTAAAGCTGCAACATTCGACAAAGGACAATGGTGGGCTTGATGGCAGCGAAGAAAGTGGCCGGGGTTTTGACGACAGCAAGGCACTGGTGAGCACTTTACTTGTGAAGGGGGGTCGGTTGGCACACGTGGGGCCAGTAAAACGTATTCAAATCTACGGATGCACACCGATATTCAGGGAGACGTCCAGGGGAGCTAATTTCCTACCAGAATCTCTTATACATATATTCGTTAGCGGTGGGGCTACTGTATGTGCGGCATATATCCAACTGAAGGTAATGCTATGTCGTCGTGCTTGTTCGTACGAGTGCGCTTTGATGTCTAACTGTCGGTAACACTCTGCTTGCAGGATAGCATTGGTGGTATAGAAAGCTCAATTGTGGTACGGAGTCTTCCAGGTTAATTAGCGCCTTGCGCCTATCTAATGGATGCTGACGCCGTCTTCTGCTTGATCAAATAACAGCTTGACTCTGGATCGGAACTCAATATCCTTGACCGTGAACGAAGGATTCGACTGTCAGCATCGCAACTCACTCTTCAGGTATGCATTCAATTCCACTGCTGCACTTATTCACCCCAAGCTTTTGAAATTGACGTGGCGGGGTTACTATTTGAACAGGGTTACGTGGGACCTTCATCACTCCAGGAGCACGACTTATTTGGGTTAACTCTGATTGGAGCGGACGTCTCATTCTCGAATGCATTAACTATGGTGCACGAACTTGAAGTCGAAGCTCGCGGTGCGCTCTCCCTTGACAAGTTCTCGGAGCTCAAATTTCGAGAACAAGTGAACATCCAAACAGAGGCATCAACTAAGATAGAAGGCTTTCTTCAGCCTTTGGGCAAGCCGTTGGATGGAGGTAATCGCCCGGATGACATTCCCTTGATAAGCGTGATAAGCAAGAAAGACGTCGAGCTTCGCCCGCAAACCGTGGAGATGGGACAAGTCGAGCTTCGAGTCAAGGCCAATGGTACATGCTTCCTCGACATGCCATTTGATACTCCCTTTCTGCGGTTATCGATTTCAGCAGTGAATGTCTCCATTCCCAACGTGAACAGTGGTCCAGTGCTGGAATGCAAAGAGATTGAACTCCAAGCGGATCCATCAGCCTGCAACAGTCTACGAGCCTCAACGCATGATACCCAGCCATATTCAATCAACGTGTTTGCTTCCAACCTAGCTACGTTTGGAAACATTTCAGCTGGGTCTATGATTCTGTGCAGTGGTAACAATATGACCCTCGAAGGTGCGGTTTCCAGCTCGTGGCTCGGATGTGGCTCTGGTATAGGTCCTGGAAAGAGCGATGTCTCGGGCGAAGCTAGCGGTGGAGCTGGCCATGGTGGAAGAGGCGGTAACGTTTTACCCGGAAGTACAGGTGGTGGCGCAGCCTACGATATTTCAAAGGAGATTTTAATGCAGCAATCGCTTGGTTCGATTAGACCACCGTCCGTCGATAAGGGGTGGCCGATTTGGCCTGGTAGTGGTGCTGCAAGTGGAGACACACCGAATAAGCTCAGTGGAGGCAGTGGGGGTGGGATTATCTACATTGGGTCAAAGAAGCTGAACGTGACGAAGCCAGCGTCAATCTCGGCGCGCGGTGGAGCTGGTTCCATGGGCGGTGGTGGCGGATCTGGTGGATCACTGACACTTTTCATTACAGATATTGCTGGTGGGGGTACCATTGATTTGGCGGGAGGTGCAGCATCGACACCGGCACTGATCACTGCCAACGACGAAGTGACAAATAGAACATCAATCTGGAATCCTGAATTACATCCAAGAGAGGTTGATGACGACGCTGGGAAGCTAGGTGGTGGCGGCGGTGGAGGAATCGTTCGCATCATGTATGTGGATACAGAAGATAAGACAGTTGCAGGTAACGGGGAGGAGTTTATTAAGGATGGGGGGCGTATTTCAGTAGATGGAGGCGAGAGCACGGGAGGTGAAAACGGTGGAGCAGGTGTCATGGTCGGTGCTAACTGTCATCCAGGGCGCGGTGGTGTGTTCTGCTTGCCCTGTCCGGAAGGAAGTCACAGTCCAGAGCGCTTTTCAAAGTGCTCTCCATGCGATCCAGGCACTTGCTCAGGCCACACTGGCGCGGAAAAGTGTGATGCATGTCCTATTGGCCATTTCAATCCTGATTTCGGGAAGAAAGAGTGTCAGTCATGTCCATTGGGGTCGTTTGGTGCGAAAGTGGGATTGAAAAAGTGTGAGTTATGCCCACCAGGCTCATTTGCGGGCGTGACAGGGAGCAGTGCGTGCTCCTCTTGTCCTATTGGTACCATCACTACTTCGTCTGGTAACAGCAATTGCACGTTATGTGGAATCGGAGAGACCACGGCAAAAGCCGGCGCGACTGTATGTGCTACCTGCAAGAAAAAGCCTGATCACTCAGCGTTTAATATGCGCGGCAACTGCTCATACGCCTGCTTCAAGGGCCGCAATGGCCTCGACTGCTTGACACCCTTCGAGCGTTTGGTGAAACCTATCGGTGGACCGATAGGGTTTGTCATTCTTGTGTTTGCTGTCACTGGTCTCATATTCGGTGCTTGGGGATTCTTCTCTTATCGAAGCTCCAAGTCCGAGTTGCGCCGCTATGCGCAGTACAAAGCACAGAGACTACGAGACGAGCTATCGTTGGAGACGCTTACACGAACATTGACTGCGCGCCTCACTGATCAAGATCTCAATGCGCATGTTGCTCGTCTGTATCTCGCTGGAGACAACCACCTCAAGAATGCTTGGCGCCTAAATCCGTACTTCCTGCCCACGAGTCTGCGTGACATCGTCGAAGAAGGCACGTACGCAAATTTTGCTTCGACATGCAACAAGTTGGTGGAGTGGGATCCTGCAGGCTGGGAAGCCTGGCTGTATCGCTTCTTACTCGTCACTGTACCCCCTATTAGTACGCTATTCATGCGTCGGCGTCAATTACATCGCGTTATGAAGCTGTCGAAGTATATCGGTCGCTATGGGGGTCGTTTCTTCCGCGATATGAACTTTCGGGTGCATGGCACGCAACTAAAAGTTGGCTTCAGCCCCGATTTCTCTCTCGGTTATTTCGACGTCCTGATTTCACAAGCAACTTCTACTTCATCCTTGAACTTGGTTGCCATGCAAGCTGTCAGCCATGAAGATCTGGTGCTTGTAGTCGGTGGCAGTGGGTCGTTTTTCAGACCGTATCACCTCGACACGAACGACATTATTGTACGCGCCATCCCTTCTCGTCTAGAATTACTGGAACACAATTTTTGGATCGACTTTGTTGCAGATGTGAACCAAATGCTGCGTGTACTACCGCAGCCGTCGTCCGTTGGCCGACGTGCGCTAGAAGCTGCCGAAGTAGCCCATGACATTATCGCATTCGTTGAAGTATTTAACGAGAAGCACGTAAAAGACGGTTTTGCCGTGACATTCGGGACATTTTCGGTTGGTGGAGCGATTGCTGCTGATGCCAACGATAGCTGCTTCGAGCCTTTCACCCTCGAAAACATCGACACGACCTTCGCGTTGTATCCTCAAGAGCCGTTTAAGCTGGCGTTCCGGGTTTCCAGATTGAATTCACCTGACGCGACACCTGCAAAGATAATCAAGACGCTGGATAGTGGTTCAGATTATCCTGACTTGCCGTCCGAAGAGAATGACAAAGTGAAGGCTGAGACAGATCCTCGATCTGCAGATTTCAGGTACTCGCAGATCAGAATGGAAGCCCTCTTTGCGCAGCCTGAGCGTCGTCCGCTTGGAATTCATGCTGATGACTCCAGCGATGATAGCGACAGCTTCACGCCACTCAAGAAAGCTCATATCGGTGGAGTACGAGCGAGAGCATTTATGGAGTTTTTGTGTACAAACGACGCAGCGAAGAGATGGCTAATGGCTCTGTGGCAACCAGTTTACCCTCTTTTCCGGCTTCGCAACTTGTCACGTCCTGAACTTCCTGCTCGCTGGCTACTTTCAGTGCTCATGGTGTTGCTTCTTATCGCTGACATGGGCGTTGTCTTCTGGATCCTGGTGGAGTACTTTTGTGTTCAAATTCGCGACCCCACTGCCCAAGATTCAGGCTGCTCTCGGGTACGTACCTATTGTTGTGGCGGTGAAGGTGGGGTTACTAGTGTCTAATGATTTGTGTTTACATTTACAGACAGCATTATGGTCAGTTGTGGGGATCTTGCCTGCAGCCATCGTCGGCTCACCGATGCTTGGTCTCATATTCGTCACGAAAAAGAGTATTTTCTACGGCAAGTTGTTCGCTGTGTGGAATGTCAGCTCTATTGTGAACCAAGCTGTGGCTTTCATCTGTGGCCTTGCATATCTGGCATTTATTCACGACGAAATCCTGCTGGTGGCGGTGGGAGGTGTGCTAATCAAGTACTTGGAGAAGGAAGTGGCATTGCGTTGCATCGCGCAATACGCAAGCGAACGGCCTTTCCGTGGTTGGCGAGGTCTACACACCACGCGGGACTGGTACGATGCTGCTTACACACCCTTAGTGCATTACGAAAACTAAGGAGCAAAAGAACGTTAATGTTAGTTTGGATAGAGAAATACACTATATTTTGTGTTGGCAATCACTAACAAGTATCTCTCCATGAAGCTGCTCTCACGTTACCAGCGTCGCGAGAACAACTTCATGTAGAAATATGTGACGACGAAGACAATGACCAGCATCGCTACGAGCCATAAGGACGTCCACAGACCGATACTGGAAGCCAATTGTTCTTTCAGCTTGGCATTCTCGCGATCCAATAGCGCAGTGTTTGACTCGGCGCTCTGTCCCACAGCGTCCAAGATCTTGACATCCTCCGCCAGAGACTGATTAATGGTCTGCGTTCTGTCCTTAAGCTGCTTCGCCAGCGACATCATCTCCGACTGAATTGACTCCTGTTCTTCACGTGCCACCGTCTCAGATGCACTCGCCTGGGTTCCAGAGCGATCCACCAGACCCAGCCGTTTTCTGATGGCCTTGGTTGACAGCTTCTCCTCCTGCGGCGCTGCCATCTCCAGCATCGAAGTGAAGTCTTCAGCACTCAGATCCGTGCGCAGTTCTGCGACCTTCTCTTCCTTCACTTCAGCACTGGGTGCTGACTCATGTTTTTGGGTCTTCACGAGAGCTTCAGGCTTGCTGTATGTCTTGGCAGTCTTGGCAGCACGGGCACGCTCCTCTCGCAGTTTCGCGATCTCTGAAGCTCGTGGAATTCGTCGCGACATCGACGTATCCTGCTCCTTCTTGAGCGCAGCTATGGTAGCCAACACGGGGGCGACTTCTGGCTCTAAAGCTCTCAACTCTTCGCTGTTTTGAATGACCTGCTGAAAGTGACGCGCTAACTGCTGATACTGAGGTACCAGATATTTGGCCACATCGACAAAGGGTTTAATGAGATATTGAGAGATGCTGGAATACATGAAAGACCGTTTGGGTCGGCAATTACCTGTTCCTCAACATCATAGTCTAAAGACTGCTTCTTATTAGCCTGGAGTCTCGTCCACGCCGCCAAGAAGCGGCGACAATCTACCTCCTCCGCCGTCCTCAGCGCTTGTGCTGTCATTGTTTTGAAATGTGAATCTAAAATGTACTACCAATATTTTGGTCCAGCATATAGTCCGGCGCATTTTTAAAGAACATTTTAGTTGTTTAGTTTTATTTTTAAAATAAAATGTTGTACACAAACATAAAAATACTCTTCGATGATTTCTTAAAATATGATCTTTGGAATTTGGAACAGGATAAGATCTAAATAAATGACGGATAGATTACCGAGGGTTGTTCCGATTTAAAATTTATTAAACTTGCGCATGGCAAAGAGCCGTAGCTTATCCACGACTTACGCTGATTTGCGTCATCTTTTAGGCAAGGGATAACATTGGTGCAGAAAGGAGACCGAAGTCGTAAGTGCGCAGATTGCATCCTTCTTAAGCAAAATCTTCCGTAGAGAGCATCGAACACGATGGAAGCGCCATGGAGCCGATGTCGATGTGAAATTTACGTGTAGCGAGATCCAGTGCATCTCAGCGAGTTATCTCTCGCCAGCTTGGTAGGGTCTAGCTGATCTTCTCCATTCCCGGGAGCATCTCCAAGGGGATATCTACCGAAATCGCCGGGGAAATATGACTCTGGTGGGACCACGATTCGGCAGAGGTCTCGACGCTTATCGGTTATCACAATTCTTCTTCTCGACGCTTATCGTACTAAGCGTCGAGATCGCTGCCGAGATTCGGTTTCTGTGGCCTTCATTGTTCTGTCCACCGTGAACTCCACGTTAGCCAAAACCGTCGTCACTCTGCGTAGCAGTCACTGAAGAACTCCGAACCAAGTGTCAATCGTTCGACGTCGCAGCCGCTTCTGATGTGTATGGAGCTCGCGTGGACAATGCATCTCGTTTCGGCGGGGATGCAAACTGCAGCGCCCTCTATTGGTGAAGCTGCGAAGGACTCCACCGCAACTTCCGGTCGGCCAGACATGATCGCGTTGAAGCAATTCAACGGATACAGTTTCTACCACGCAGCACAGCAGCAGCAATGCATGAAAACGCTAAACTGCGATCGTGGTGGTCATCCACCTAGGCTCACTCCGATGTGTCCGAAGCAAGGCAAGTCCGCCCTTCAAACAACTCATTGATAAAACCCTGCCGTCAGCAAAGTATCCACCCGCGGATCCACAAGTTGGGCACGAAGTGCGATCGGTATCCGCAGCTCTATGGAGGTCATTTTTGCAAAGCACCTTGGCACATGAGATGCTGTGCCACGAAACGACGTGCTCGCATGACAGACGGAGTGGGCATCAAGTGCCACGAGCAGGGCTCAAGTGGTCGAGTGGGCGCTGAACAGGCAATGAATGTAAATCTCACACGTCGACTCGAGTTCTAGTGCCTCTTAAATAAAAAAACTGCAGCAAAGCGAGATGTTGCTCCTCCTCCTACCAGAAGGCCCAACGCCGCGTTACACTTGATCGGGCTCCCATTTTTTTTAGTTTCAACCTGGCAACACCAACAACCGCACAGAAACCGCTGCTTGGACCGTACCTGTTCATCTGACTTTAGGGGAAGGGAAATGCGTATTTTACACCTATATAAGAGCTTTAGAGCACATATTTAAGTGGTATCGTCCTCGACACCCCTAAATACGAGTAGACTGGCTACAGCAGGTTTTGTCAACTGCTCTCCAAGAGACGATGTCACGGCCGACATGGAGCTCAGCTGTTTGGAGCGCATTCCCCCTCTTGCCAAGAGTTTTGGGCATTGACCAGCAGCCGAGGAAAGGCCTGCAGGGCGCAGTACTTTCGAGGAATACCTGTGTCATTGGTTCGGGGTTGGGAACTCCACTGACTTTCTGAGCAAGTAACGGAGACAGTCGCACGCGCTAGAGCGTACCAGTTGACCGAGCCGTCGAGAGGGACCGGATAAGAAGCTTGGGATGCCTCCTTCCAATAGCGAAAGTATGGGGAAGTCGGCCATGCCAAAGGACGTGACGCCCAGCATCACTGTGGGTGCACGTTGCTACATCCCGGACGACGACGCCGCGTGGCTCCCCGTGTACGTCGAGGAAGTGAACGAGGCTAAGGGCCTCGTGACGGTTAGAATCCAGCGTCCACGAAAGGATCAGCAGAACGAGGACGCGGCTGACCATGACGACGCCGACAGGACTGGCGAGAGCCGAGTGGTGGCCATGGATGTCGGATTTCCTCTGCAGAACGCGCAGCTTTCTCGCTACGACGAAGGACTGGACAATATGATCGATCTGAATCATCTACACGAAGCTGCTATTCTGCGGAACCTCAAGAAGCGCTTCCGAGCTCGGATGCCATACACTTACACCGGAGATATCTGTCTCGCAGTAAACCCGTACCAGTGGCTGGATGAGCTGTATACTCCTGGACTTCACAAGAAGTACTTACAAGCTCGCAAGCGACAGGATCTGCCGCCTCACGTGTACGCGGTGTCCGTAGCGGCTTTCAGGCATATGTGTGATAACGGTAGTAACCAGAGTATCCTCGTGAGTGGAGAGTCCGGCGCTGGAAAGACCGAGACGACCAAAATTTTGATGGACAATCTGGCTACCATTGCACCGGCCCCAACTGCTACCGTCAGCGAGCAGGAACACAGCATCACCACTCGTATTATCCAGGTGAACCCGCTGCTGGAGAGTTTCGGTAACGCAAAGACCACGCGCAATGATAACTCTAGTCGCTTTGGCAAGTTCACACAGCTGCAGTTCGACAAGAAGCACGCTCTCTGCGGTGCTCAATGTGAGACGTATCTCCTGGAGAAGACCCGTGTTATCTCACATGAACGCGGTGAACGCAACTACCATATTTTCTATCAACTTCTGCATGGTACTACGGACGAAGAGCGTGACGCGTTGGGTCTTGGTGACGAGGCTCCAAGGTTTGCGTACCTGGAAGAAAAGGAACCCCAACAAGAGAACCGGCCAGGACGAAAACCAAAGCTCAGTCAGCCGCCGCCACCAAAACCAGCGGCTGTGATTGAAGCCGAGAACGCCAAAGACCGAGCTCTATTTGCCAAGACACGACAGGCGCTCTCGTTGCTTGGACTTGCCCCCGAACAACAGAATGATTTATTTCAGGTCCTGTCAGGTATTTTGCATTTGGGTGAGGCTCAGTTCGTCGCAAACCCGAACAATGACGAAGCTTGCGACTTAGAGAAGGACTCAGTGATCTATTCGAGCACACTACTAGGCTTGAACCCGGATACTATGGCAAAGGCGCTGACTCACCGTACTATGAAGGCTGCTGGAGAGGTATACTTGGTCCCGCTGACAGTTGAGCAAGCTAAGGCTGGACGTGACGCACTAGCTAAGGCTATCTACGCCAGTATCTTCGACTGGTTAGTAGCTGGTATCAACGCAAGTCTGGGCGCTGCCGCTCGACTTACTGCGAACACGATCGGCGTCCTAGATATCTTCGGCTTTGAGAGTTTCGAGCACAATTCGTTCGAGCAGCTTTGCATCAATTATGCCAACGAGAAGCTGCAACAGAAGTTCACCCAAGATGTGTTTAAAGCTGTGCAGGAGGAATATGAACGCGAGCAGATCACATGGGCTCACATCGCATACGCTGACAACAGCGAGACTCTTGCTCTGATTGAAGGTCGCATGGGTGTGTTGGCCCTACTGAACGAGGAGATCGTGCGACCTCGTGGCAATGAAGAAGGCTTCGTGAGTAAGCTGTCAGGCGCTTATCTTAAGCAGAAGAAGCTGATTGAGTTCCCACGCATCTCCAAGACGCAGTTCGCTATTCATCACTACGCTGGCACAGTCAAGTACGAGGCGATGGGATTCTTGGAGAAGCATAAGGACGCATTGCTGTCGGACTTGTCAGATTTAATGTGTGGCAGTCACGAAGCATTCCCTCAAATGCTGTTCAAGGTCAAAGCAGAGATGGAAGCTGCAGCTGCTGCAGAGTTAAAGCGCTCGAGTTCGGGACGGAAAACTGGAGGAGCAGGAGGCGACAAGACGGTGGGAATGCAGTTCAAACAATCTCTGAACTCCCTAATGACCAACATCAACGAGACGAACGTCAACTACATTCGGTGTATCAAGCCAAACAGCGTCAAGAGCTCTACCGTTCTTGAGGACAAGATGGTGGCCAACCAGCTACGTTGTGCTGGTGTCATTGAAGCCATTTGTATCGCCCGTGCTGGGTACCCGAACCGGTTACTACATGCTGAATTTGCCGAGCAGTTCGACATCTTTTTGAAGGAGAAGGAGCAGAACCAACTCAAGGACGAGCCTGAGAAAAACGGCGCTCCTTTCTGCCGAGATTTAGTGAAGCAGTTCAAGCTGGAAATGCCCGAGGAGTATCAGATGGGTGTGACCAAGATCTACCTACAGAAAGGTGTGCTGGAGAAGCTGGAGCATGCCAAGGCGCAGAAACTCTTTGCGTATGTGGCTCTCATCCAGGCTCAGTGGCGCGGGATGCGTGCACGCTGTCAGTACTACGAGATGCGCGACGCGTTGATCGAGATCCAGCGCCGTGTCAAGGTTTTCGTCACGAGATGTCGCTTCATTCGGGCGAGACTGGCCATCGCTTTGATCCAGCGCGTGTATCGTGGATACGTTGGACGCTGCGAGTTCCACGCCGTGCTGTGCGAGCACTGCGCTCTTGAGATCCAGCGCGTGTGGCGCGGACATCAGGGACGCAAGATTCACTTTGCTGCTCTGTGTGAGGCTCGAGCCAAGCAGATCCAGCGCATGTGGCGTGGCCACAAGGGCCGCCAGATCTTCCACGCTGTGCTGTGCCAGACTCGAGCTGTGCGTCTGCAGTGCTTCGCTCGACAATATCTGGCTCGCCAGGAGCTGTACAGACGACGCGCTGCGTACATCGCTAAGCTCGAGAGAGAGGAGCGTGAACGTGTGGAACGGGAGCTGGAGGCTGCCAGACAGCGCAAGCTGGCAGAGGAGCGTGAGCGACAACGCAAGCTGCAGGAAGAGCTGGCTAGACTGGAAGAAGAACGTCGACTGGAGGAGCAGCGACAGCTTGAAATCCTTCGAGAAGAGAGCGCGTTGGTCATCCAGACACACGTTCGAGGCTACTTTGCTCGATGTGTGTTTGCCGAGATGGTACAGCAAGCCGAGGAGGAAGAGCGACGCCGTCGTGAAGAGGAAGAGGAGCGTGAACGACTCCGCTTACAACGTGAACACGACGAGCGTGAAGCTCAGCGTCTTGCAGCGGAGGAGGCAGCTCGCGAGAAGCAGAGATTGGCCGAGGAACGCAAGCGCAAGGCGATCGCCATGCGTCTGCGACGTGAGAAAGCGGTCACGGTCATGCAGCGTGTGGTTCGTGGTCACTTGGCCAGGAAGCAGGTGAACCAAATGAGGGAAGAGGTCCGACAGCGAGAGGAAGAAGCGCATAGGATGGCGGAGGAGATCCGACGCAAAGAAGAAGAACGAAGAGAGGAGGAAGCAGCAGCGACGCGTCTGCAAAGCATCCAGCGTGGCCGTTTGGCTCGTCAGCAGTTCTCCAAGTTCAGGATCGAGAAGGCTGAGCATGACGATGAAATCGAACGTGCTCGTAAGGAACAGGAGGAAGAAATTGCGCGTGCGCGTAAGCAACAGGAGGAAGAGACCGCCCGAGCTCGTAGGGAACAGGATGAAGAGATCGCCCGAGCTCGCAAGGAACAGGATGAGGAGATTGCGCGTGTTCGTGAGGAGAATATGAGACTGAAGAAGCAGTTGGCAGAGCTGCAGAAGACCAATAGTGAGCTGGAAGCCGTGGTGGCGGAGTACCGCTGCGACCGCGATGTGGTCAAGGCCTCCAACAACCTGAAGGAGGTCGAGTTGACGCAGAAGTTGAACGTTCGACGCAAGGAAGTGGAGACTGCACGCGGTGAGTACTCGACATTGTGCGACTTCCTTGAGAAGACTGGCAGTTCCCGTCGTGCCACGGAACCGGAAGACCTCAACTCGTCGGACAACTCGTCCGATACTTCGTCGAACTATGGCGAAGAGGAGAACGAACACTGGAAGGAGGATCGACCTACCGTCAACGCATTGGCTGCATCCTATTACGGCGATGATCGACCATCCACTGATATCGCTAAGCTGCTCAGCAGTAGCCAATCGCGCACTTCTCGACTAGCGAGCGCTATGCAGCAGCGTCGTCAAAAGGCTAGCCAGGCAGTGCAGCAACGCAAGCAACAAGCTACGGCCGCTATGCAACAGCGCAAGGAGGCTGCAGCCCAGCGCAAGGAGCAGCAGAAAGAACCGAGTGCTCCATCCATGCAGAATGGCGCGACCGCCGTCACGAAAGCCAAAAAGTGGGCTGCCTTCGCTCGGAACAAGAATGCCAAGAAGAGCAAAGCGGAGGCCACCACTCCGATCGAGCCAATCGAGTAAGTGTTCCCCCGTAAGTGTCAAAAGCTGCAGGGCGTTGACGGATAGACGTTTACAAGTGTCAGCGCTTAGCAGAAGTAGTTAGTATCTATTACAATTCACCTCGAAATGAGAGAATTTTTGAACAGCGTAACTAGTTTTCTGACTTTTATTGAGTTTACAGCTTCGTGTAGTTTACGCTCCTTGGAAACTTAATTAGATGACAGGTAGATGAAATTAGATGAAAACAGCAACCAAGCAGAAGTTTTTCTTGTAAAAAAATACATTCGCAGGAGCCCGTCCAAAGTCACACACCAAACCTGAACGACAGTCGTGAGGCAGGCCTGACGACGAACACGTTGAAGCTGCCTCTTCGAACCCATTACAGGCGTGGATAAGACAGCTTTTCGTCGAAGCGGTGCTCAACTGGACGACAGCTTCACACCAAAGCACTTCTGAGAAATGCCAACGTCAGGAACACCGCTGGAAGCATGCCTACGCGACGAAAACTACACTTACGTGCCGAATGCATATCTACATTGCTGCAGTACACGCGCAAATGGTCGCTGGATTCGTCGTCTAGAACTTTCACATTGTCTAGCCTGTGCGAGGAAAAGAGCTGCATTTGCCTGGAAAAATCTCACGAAGCGATGCAATAGAACCCACTACTCGAAATTGCCTTAGAATCATGAGGAGCTGGCGGTTCGGATTCATTCATGGCGTGCCTTTCAGTCGTAGTGACGTGCGCCTAGGAACTCGAGGCAAAAACCTACACAAGGGTTTCTCAAGGCATACAAATTTCCATATAAATAACGGCTGTTTTCGTTTAGCAGAGTCCGACAATTTCGAGCATGCAACCTCGCGTTCAGAGTCTACAACCTGCCTCCATTCTACCATTTGCCCAGCGTCCTAAGCACTAGTTTCCTCCACCTTCTCCACTCTGCTCTGGCTGCTCATTCTCAAATCTTTCCACTTCAGTTCATCATGCTCCGCCTCGGACGATCAGCAGCCTCGGAAGTCTCCACCATCCGCAGTAGACTGCAGCGTCAACGCGGTGCAACGAGCACTGCAAGGCCATTGCAATGCGCCTATCAGACGCAGTCACACAGCAACCCAGAGCCGGATGCGAAGCGTGGCCGGAATCCAGTGAGCCTGGCGGTCATGGGCGCTGCTGCGCTCAGCGTCGGTCTCGAACTGCAGACGGACGGCGTCGCACAGGCTCGAGCTGCAATGGAGCCGGCTACGCAATTGCAAAGACACAAGTGGCAATTGTTCGATCAGATCGGTTCCGGTGCCTTTGGTGTCGTACGGCTTGGCATGCACGAGGAAACCGGCGAAGTCGCGGCCGTCAAGATCGTGCCGCTCGAAAATCCCGATGACCGACGTTCGTATCCGGCACTGGAGCGTGAGATCGCGGCTCTGAAGCTCGTGAAAGCCCTCGGAGGACACAATAGCATTATCGATCTGCGAGACGTGTATGTGGAAGGCAGGAAGCTCTTCCTTGTTACCGAACTGGCCCGTGGAGGCGAGCTCTTCGAGCAAATCGTGGCCTACGGGTCGTTCCCTGAGCTTAAAGCACGGGATGTTGCCCGTGAGATGGCTAGCGCACTCTCGTTCCTTCACCGACACGGACTTGTGCACAAGGACGTTAAACCCGAGAACATTCTCATGAGCGCACGTGTGGTTGACCCCAACGCCAACGGAGTATTCCGCAAGGGCAGCCGCCACGAGAACTCCAGTCTTGTCAAGCTTGCAGACTTTGGCAGTGCCGGACCGGCTAGTGCAAATACCAACCTCGAGGAAATTGGCACGGGCGCGTACCTGCCACCTGAGTTGTTGACGTCGGGTGTCTGCACCAGCGCGTGTGATATGTGGGCACTGGGCTGTGTGCTGTACATCATGCTAAGCGGCTCGCACCCGTTCGACCTGGACGGCATGTCCGCGGATAATGAGGTCGAACACCGCATCAAGTCGGAGGCGATCACCTTCGACTTCAGTGCTTGGGACCACGTGTCGCCCGATGCGAAGGACCTCATTTCCAAGCTGCTGGTGAAGGACCCAGCACTGCGTCTGACGGCAGACCAGATGCTCCAACACCCGTGGATGAATGCGAATGCCGAAGCTACCCTGCGTAGACCTTCGCCACTGCTGGCGGGCCAGCCGATCCCTATGAGCCTCGCGTAAAGCTCTGCGTACTTTGAAACACTACAACTACATATTTAAGTGGTGAAACACCATAAAACGACCCACGAAAGAGGAGATCGAGAAGAAGACAATGTACATATCCAATTTAGCAAATATAGCAACGTTTATCAGAAGCGCAGATACTGATTGTAGTGGAATGTACGAAGACAAACCAGGGCAATGAGCAGATGGAGAAGCGCTGCATAAAGCCCAACTATAACGTCTCACTTAAGGTTCCTATCGCATTATTTAAATGACCACCCCGCACACAACACGCCCGAAAGCACTTCACGAGGTGGAGATACCAAATGCTACCAAAATCGAAAACACCAAACACACCAACCAGGCAAAAGCTTAAATGCTGCTCCAAAAGTCCCCAGTACCTTTCAAATGGTACACTGTACCATCCTTTTCAACCACCAATAAATCGTCGTATCGAGTTTTCACTTGGTTTCAGTAAGACCTTGTGTACCCCGCCAACTTTAATCATCACTTCTAACAGGCTTCGTGATCGGTTGGCCATGCGTTCGCCTTGACCAGCTCCCCATTATTGTGTACCATTTTGACATTTCCCGGTTGAAAAAGAAGAGCAAGTATGGGTCGTGTTATCCGTGGTCAGCGTAAGGGTGCTGGCTCCATCTTCAAGTCGCACACGCACCTGCGTAAGGGCCCCGCCGCCTTCCGCGCTCTCGACTTCGTTGAGCGCACGGGCTACATCAAGGGTGTCATCAAGGAGATCATCCACGACTCCGGCCGTGGTGCTCCCCTGGCCAAGGTGACGTACCGTGACCCGTACCGTTTCCAGCTCAAGCACGAGCTGCTGATTGCTGCTGAGGGCATGTACACGGGTATGTTCATCTACTCGGGCCCCAAGGCTACCCTCACGGTCGGCAACACCCTGCCCCTCTCGGCCCTGCCGGAAGGTACCATCGTGTGCAACGTCGAGGCCAAGGTCGGCGACCGCGGCTCGTTCGCCCGTGCTTCGGGTGACTACGCCGTCATCGTGACCCACGACGAGGACAAGGGCAAGACCAAGCTGCGTCTGCCTTCGGGCTCCAAGAAGACCGTCCCTTCGGCGTAAGTTGCTGCTTCATTATTATCGTGACAATGATTCGAGATCTCTTCACGAGGTCTCGAGGCACGGCGGCGTCGCTCTCCTTATCCCCCAATAAGCAGACGATGTTCGCGCCGCGTTCGTGTTCTCTGAACACTGATGCGTGTGTGTGCTATCCATCATTCTTTCCCGCCTTGTGCGGTGAGTAAGTATGTTGCTGGGCTGTTGTCGTCGACATCGAAGGGGAGACTATTTTGGACTATTTTACTGACTTTTGTGCTCGCTTATGGGAAATTGATCAACAGGTGCCGTGCCATGATTGGTGTTGTCGCTGGTGGAGGCCGTACCGACAAGCCCATCCTTAAGGCTGGCCGTGCCTTCCACAAGTACCGCGTTAAGCGTAACGAGTGGCCCAAGGTGCGTGGTGTTGCCATGAACCCCGTGGAGCACCCCCACGGTGGTGGTAACCACCAGCACATTGGTCACCCGTCGACCGTGCGTCGCGATGCCCCCGCTGGTAAGAAGGTCGGTCTTATTGCCGCCCGCCGCACGGGCCGTCTTCGCGGTATTAAGAAGGTGGAGAAGGACAACTAAGTTGTCTCGCTCTAACTCAATCCGCAGTCTCTCGACTGCAAAACGGGAATGCCATAATGAAATTGCTTTTCAACCAAATTTTGTCTTCTTTATCCGTACATGAGTCTTTCAGCTCTACGCCTCTCGGATGCTTCTCTTTCATCTCGTTCACGACGTAGCTCTTGCTTCAATGCGTCTTTTTTACTGAGCTTGTGTTCGCCCTTGCGTTTTCTTTCTTTATGGCGCTTCGACCGCTTGACTTCTTTTTTACTGCGGCGAGGCTCTCCACGTTCAGAAGACGACGAGCGGTCATAACGACCCGAGTATTTCCTACGGTCACTACCCGCAGGTCCTTCATCAGCGATAAGTCTGCGTTTGCGCCTTCCTCTCTCTTCTTCCACAGCAAACAAAGGCTTCTCTTTCGGACGCATGTGATGCAACGGGTCAGCCTCCTCCAGCTCTCTGCATTAACCACAGCGTCAGCCCTGCAATAAGCTCTCTTATCCCAATACGATAAATTCCCACCTCTTTCGCTTGCGCTCCTGTCTTGCCGTCGGCTCCTTCTTCGCCACATCTTCAGTCTGCGCGTACCAGGGCAGTCTCCCGTGTCGTCTCAGCGTATCATCCGAACCCCTATGCTTCTTATTGTGATTGCCGCCCTCTGTCCGATGTGCTTGCGCCTCCTCCGCCTGGAAGAAGTTAATGTGCTGCTTGGAATCAGACCCTTCGGCCGGGATAAGCTGCTGCGCGCGTCGCTCCTGCTCTAACCGCCGCTCTTTCGCCTCCGAAGCCTGCTGCTTCTCCTCGTGTTCGCGCTCGTCCCGCAATACGCGCTCGATATTATCACGCCGCCACACATGCCACTTCTTGTGCGGCAGGATGCGCAACCCACCACCGCCCATGATCACCGGAAGAAAAACTTATTAGAAACCAAGATTAAAGATTGTAACACAACATGATTGGTGAATATTGATCATGGCAATGCTTCAACGTTTACTATCTGCAGTCGACGAGATCTTCACGACCAGAACCGAGCAACTTTTTAGATGCAATGCAGTCTCTCGCAATAGCCCAGGGCATTCCATTCCACGCGGTGTTCCATTTCATTCGCGATCTCTTCACGTCCACATAGCGCTGTAGCCATGTCTCTTTTCAGCTGTTGGTCCTCTATTCGAGTCACTAACTGAATCGGATTATCTTGCATAGAGTATCCCCATCGAAATCGAGTCAGACGTGAACCTAATTACCACAGCCTACTTTGAAGCGCTTCCTACACACACATGGGAGTTGCCACAGCCAACGACGTCGGCTACGTGATCTCCCCGGATGACCAGCTCCAGAACGGGCTAAATGACTATATCATCTCCCCTCAAGAGCAACGACGGAACTTCTCCATGCTGGAGACGGCATCAGCGTCCCACAGTGACGATGGAGGCAAATATGAGACTGCAGTGCTGCCGTATCGCCCCAGTTCCGAGTCGGACACAAGCTCCGTGAATTTCACCGATTCACTAATGGTCGTGGGGAAGCAGCTCCCATCGGGGAGAGCTGTGGCAGCTCTGGATCTCTTTGCGCGCGAGAATATCGGGCTGCTCATCAACTACATCGCGGTCGGTGCAGTACACGGACTCTTCCAAGCCGTGATGTATCCGTACTTGAACGTTTATCTCAATATGGACGACTACTTGGCCTACTCTGCAGAGCGGTGGCTTGCAGTACCCTGGCTACTCAAAGTCTTCTTCGCAATGCTGTCAGATGGAGTTCCTATCAAAGGTTCTCGTCGACGAGCGTATATGCTGATCGGGTGGATAATTTGCTTCTTCTTTTCGTTTATCTTGGCTGTGTTGCCGTCAGAAACGCCATACTTGACGGACGGAGTTGTGACCAACAGTGCTGCTGCTGAAGCTGGCAACAAATATGTGGCAATGTTCGTGATCGCTACATTTGGTTACGTCTTGGCGGATACTGCGAGTGATGGAATGTTGGTGGAATTTGCACAACTGCACCAAGCAAGCGAGCAACAGCAGATGCAGTTCCACCACCAACAGAGAGAGCTGCAGGGTGATGTCAATCCGATGCCAATGCCTCCCCCTCGAGCGTCAGGGCCGACTTATGTTGTCACGACACTGTTTGCAGCCCGCTATCTCGCGCAATTTTTGATGATGTTCCTCGTGACTTTCATGTGCAATAGCGATTCCTACGGAGGTACATTTGGATGGGGAGCATCAGTCAACAGTGCGATGATAATTGCCATCCTGGTATCGGCCGCAACAATCGCTTCGACGTGGTTTTTGCTGTTAGAAGACGAAAACCCGGCAGGTTACAACGTTCACATCTTAACGCCGCGTGAGTGGAAAGCTACTGCGTACAAGCTGTTCCACCAACGCGCAATCGTTCAGGTGATGGCTTACACGTTCCTCTCGCGGCTATGCTTTACATACTACGCTACATCAGCCAAGGCTATCTACGAGTACTGGGCTCCAGCAGGGTCGCTAATGACCAACATTTTCTCGAGCTTGAATGCTGCAGTGTTTGCGATAGCAGCACTTCTAATCGGACATGGACCTACGATGCGGCTCTTAAAGAAGCTTGGTTGGCGGCAGACTGTGGCTGGTTCAGTGGTGGTCACCGCTGGGCTCGTTCTCGTTGTGGCTCTCTTCACGGTATTCAATTTGGTACGCGTCGCTGGATTGACGCTGTTTGTTGAGCAGATCATTGCAATGTTCGAGGCGCTCGCGTACTTCATGGCTCTGCTCGCCGCAGTAGCAGTCGCCGAGCCTGGACTGGAGTGTACGTCGTTCAGTTTGATAACTACGACGGGAAATCTCGCCGTTCCGTTCGCCATTTCGCTGTCCCAAGCCATCGGAGAGCATTTCGACGTTTACGACTCAGAAAATGAATCGGATTCGAGTCATGCACGAGCACAAGCCATGTACTGCTTCCTCGTTGCGGTAGTTATCCGAGCGCTGCACCTTACACTGCTACCTCTACTTCCCGATTGCGCGGAGGCTGCACGTGCCTTGAAGCTCTCGCGCTTCACTGGAAGAAAAGGCTTGGTCATTGTGATCGCAGCTACTGTGTGTGCAGTATTCATGGTTTTCTGGGCTCTGCTCACGACGACACTTTCGTCGTTTGAACGTACTTCTTGCCTCAATGTAGCTGGTGGAGAAGGCTGCTAGCAAGAGATACCCACAGTCTTGGAAGACTGTATTTTATCCTCATTTCATTGCTGTATTGGTATAAGAGGAATTTTCCATAGCGACGTCATTTTTGCAATGTGAATCACTGCTAGCCGTGATACGTCGCTGAAGCTGAGACTGAATGACGACACATCACTTCATTGAATATGATCCAGCATACACATACACAGCACTTACTTAGCTCGAGTTCAGTGTGTCTGCGATGGCCTGGATCCAGAACGCAGCGGCCTTGGCTCCAGGGTCAGGGATGCCAGCGCCAAACTCCTCTCCGACGTATCCAGCGCGACCAAATGCTTGCTTGGTAGAGATACGAGCCGTAGCGTCAGCGCCTTCCTGTGCAGCCTTTGCAGCAGCTGCAGCCAACTCAGCTCCGGTCTTCGACGTCACGTTGTCAAGAGCACGAAGTGAGGGAACCAGAGCATCCACCATAGTGCGAGATCCCTCCTTAGCGCCTCCGTACTTCTGAACTGCATTGATACCAGCACGGAATGCGCCAATCCACGCAGCAGCGTCGTCCTCCTTACAGGTCTCAAGATGCAGCGAGCCAGCAGTCAAGAAGATGACGTATAACACGCCAGAAGTGCCACCAGCACTGCGTCCCACCGAGTCAGCAAGAGCACGCAGAGTCTGCGTAGCGTTATTGAGTGGATAATGAGCTTTCAAGTCAGTTAGAATGGCTTCAGCGGCAGCTCAAGCACGAGCTGCTGATTGCTGCTGAGG